TCTGTGCAAGAAGTACTACAAAAGTGTCTGATCAGTCATAACTATATCGTGGCTTGAAACACTTTACAATATAGTTATTGCCTGTGGAACAAAACTACCTACTGTGATTGTGGTTGCCTAATGTTGGGTACGGTGGATAACATTACAGATTAGGACTCAGGAAGCCTGGGTTCTAATTCCCATTCAGCCATGGAAGCTCAGTGGGGAAGTGGAACTGGTAAAGCCACTCTTTATATATCTCAGTTACCTTGAAAGCCCTATTAGGGTCACCATAAGTCTCTTCTGACTTAATGGCACAGAAAAAAACAACATTGGGAAACATCGAAAAGAAATTGTAGGGAACTGGCAAATCCAATAGAAACCAAAAAATACAGGGAGAAACAGTCTTAGTCTCTGATCTGTATCAGCTCCAAAGCTAATCAGAAATCAGGAATCCTGATTAGCTTTGGAGCTGATACAGACCAGAGAAATATAACAATTTTGCTTTTGGTGAAGGCCCTGCTGAAACGCGTTAAGCAAGAAAGTTTTTAACGCTTTTCACCACTTAATAAAGACACAACATATTGTTATTTACCCCAGACTGTTTATCTCTGTATTTTTTTTTGAAACATTGAATAGCACATGCCCTGCAAAAAAAGGCAAAGGGCCACAAGGACAGAAGGAAATACATGCATGAAATTTCTTTCCCAAAGCATCTCAAGGCTGTGTCTTACATGTAGCTCATGTAACTTTACCAGCTACCATAAAGACAGCAGATAGTAGTATTTCCAGCTTTCATTTTGCTCTCTCGCACTGCTTATTGTCCTAAATAAATTAGGGATTCCCTCACATTATCTTCTCAGGTAGCATCAATGCATGTTGAGCCAAATTTGTGTTGGCTTGTTAAAGCTATAATAACATCTACAGCAGAGGTGGGAAGCTTTTCTTTTCTATTTTTGATTGATACATAGTACATTTGACATCTTGGTGTCATGTGGAATTTGCAGAACTCCGTCAGACCATGCTGGCAGTCTGGTTTCCAGAGTCAGGAATGTCAATCTCGTTCATTTTTTTAACTGTTTATCTTAACGTTAAATTTTGTACTCTCTTTGCTTCATGAACACTCAGAGGACCTCAAAGTCTGTCTTACACATAGTCTTGAATGATCAAGGATAAGCATGGTTGTTGTTGTATACTTTCAAATTGCATCTGACTTGTGAGTTTAAGTTAATGTGATATATTTAAGTGGTGCTTTTACCAATACAACCTCCCAGTGAGTTTCCATGGACAAGGAGGATTTGAATCCATGTCCTCTAAGTTCTGATCTACCAGCTCATCCACTGCCCAACCAAAATTTGTATGGATGGCCAGCATGGACTTTTTTTTTCTATTGCCACCCTCTAGCTTACCAAATTTCCCCTGTTGAATCTACAGCTGCCAGAATGTTGCTCCCACCTGTGACAATGCTGTGGTACATGAACACAGTGCTCTGTGTCCATAGACATCTCAATTGTGGGAAAAGAATGTTTCTGAAACTGCATTCATACAAAAAGAAGCTTTTAGAAACTGTGTTCCTTGTTGTGGCAGCCACAATTTTGACAGTGCAGCTGACATGGTGGCAGGGGTACAATTATTGCACAGGATGACAACCAATGCAATAAGCTGTTAACATTTGTTCAGATGTACAGTCATGCCTCGCTTAATGATTGCCTCGCTTAACAAGGAAATTGCTATATGATTAGGTTTTTGCAATCACTTTTGGAATCGCAAAACAATGTTTTAAATGGGTTTTTTTTCATTTAATGATGATCGGTCCCCTGCTTCGGGAACCGATTTTCGCTTTACGGCGATCAGCAAACAGCTGATCGTCGGGTTTCAAAATGGCCACCAGCTGAAGAAAATGGCTCCCTGCTGTTTTCTAGGATGGATTTCTCGCTTTACAGGCACCAAAAATGGCTGCTGTAGGGAGGATCTTCGCTGGACGAGCAGGTATTCAGCCCATTGGAATGCACTGAACGGTTTTCAATTTGTTTCAATGGTTTTTTTCATTTTGTTTGACAATGTTTTCGCTCTACAGCGATTTCGCTGGAACAAATTAACATCGTCAAGCGAGGCACCATTGTATTCACAATCTCACATAGCTCTTACCTGTTCAGTAAACAAAAGAAGCCACAGACATACTTTCATTATTGTTGTTGTTGTTTAGTCATTAAGTTGTGTCTGACTCTTCGTGACTCCATGGACCAGAGCACACCAGGCCCTCCTGTCTTCCACTGCCTCCCGGAGTTTGGTCAAATTCATGTTGATACTTTCATTGTTACTGTGGTCAAATGTCAGGTGTACATGTTTTAACACATTACGTGGCTAGAAAGCAGCCCTAGAGCTGTCAACAGCTACTTCAGCCAAATACATATTAATAAATACAGCACAAGTTAGAAACACATGGTTATGCTTGTTCTGACTGAGTGAAGCAGAGCCCACAGGTATCTCAAAGGTGTTAACTGCGAAAACTAAGGGCAACTAAGGGAGTCATGACTGGCTGGATAGAGTTCAGTGAGTTAGGTATCAATTGGGAGTTCAGTTCCCCACTAGGCATCCCAGGCGAGCCTTGGGCAAGCTGCAGAGTTCTAGGATGCCCCAAGAAGAAGGGAATAGTAAACTACTTCTGAGTACTCTCAACCTAGAAAACTTTGAAATGGGTTGTCATAAGTCAGAACTTACTTGAGGGCACACAATTCTGATGATGATGCAAATACTGTATAAATTAATTATGAGTTTGAAATTGACACGTTTGCGGCATCTGACATGAATCCCTGTTGCCTTCCCTTGTCAATCACTTGCAACAGATTGTTTACATCTGCAACCAATTCTGGTATTCGTTTATGAGATTTTGGGGTTTCTTGGGCATGCACATAATTAAAGTAGTAGATGTTTTTCTCCAGATGGTGCAATGGGAGTTAGCCTTCTTGAAATGTTTTGGCCTGATGTTTTCTATTGCCGATGAATTTAGTTTTAGGAGAAGAGAGTTGCAACAGTGGAGATTTTTGGTGTGTTTTCAAAGCCTCACAATGCCATTCTATAATGTTTTTATATTAATTATTATTATTTAAAATTTTCGGTGGCTTGTGTTTAATTTTGGTTTTGTAATTACTATGTTTATTGTTTTGTATTGTTCTCGTTGTCTTCTTTAATATGTAAGCCGCCCAGAGTGGCCTTGGTAGTCAGATGGGCAGTATAGAAGTTGAATATTTTAAATATATATTAAAATTATTCCCTGAAGGAACCTCATATTTGCTAGTCTTCTAAACAATATGTGCAGTGCCAGGGCCTTATATTTGTCCTGCTCTCCTGATGGAATGCCTGTTCCAAAGCACAGGGCTTAGTAAGTAAGTGTAATAGGTTCTCAAAGAAAGCATGCAATGAAATCTAGCAGTTCTCTCTTAAAACCTAGCCATTGCTCCACTACTTTCCTGTGTGCGTCAGAACCAACTTATAGCAACCTTAATAGGGCTTTCAAGGTTAGTGAGATGTTTAAGAAGTAGTTTTACCAGTTCCACTTCCCATTGAGTTTCCATTGCTGAGCAATTCAAACCCTGTTCTCCAGTCTGAGGACGTTACTCTATCCACCACACCACACTGTGAACCTCACTTTTTTGTGATGTCAGTCAAATCAAAGAGGGTCAGCTATGCAGCAGATAAAGTATTTGGATGTATGAATAAATACAGCAAAGGAGAAAGTTAATGTCCTGCATCTTTGTAACAGAAAGCAGTATTGTCAATTTTCTCATGAAAACTGAAAGGTGAAGTATAAATAAAATAAACAAACACATTACAGTATACATAAACCAACATGAAAAGATGTGTTCCTCTCTAGCAATTGCTGGCCTGTTTGATAGGACTGCAACAGTTGTGTGGAGCTAAGTGCTCAAATGGCCTTTGGGAAAGGACAGGAGAATAGCTGAGCCCCCATTATCTTAAAAAAAGGGGGACTGCTACATCCATCCTGCATTTACTCCTGTTCTAGCTGCAAGCAATCATTTCAGAAGGCTTTATATTTCTCCCTTTACAGCTCATGCCATATGCACAGATCTAGAATTTCACAGGAAATAATTCTTTTAAAAAAACCCCAAACCACACTGGATTTGTTCTCCCACAACACAACCCTGAGGAGTATTATTCAGAAACAAGCCCTTCGGAAATCACTGAGCGTACTGTCTCTTCAGCCACATTCTATAACGCCAAGATCCATACTTCGCTGGTTGTTGGGGTTTGAAGGGAATCCCCCCCCCCTTTCGCCATTCAGTTCTTCTGTTCCTGCAAAGTGGCGGCATTTGAGGGCATTTAGGACTTATTCAGGGAAAGCGATCTGGCACCCCAAATCCTCGTTAGCTGCGTTTGCTTAGAAGCAATTATAGGCTTCTGGGACGAAGCATAAAGAGCCTTGTGGCACCCGGAGGACTACCTAGTTTGCTTGGCCATAAAGAGTCTATGGACCGTCGCCCACTTCCTGAGATGTATGATTAAGACCGAGGAGAGCGGGCCCCACACAAGCGCATCTTTCCGACTCTCGCTCCGGCGCTTGAAAGGCGCCCGCCGCCGTGGAGGGAGGAGTCAGTCCGGTCCGCGGCTCCAGCTCGGGTTTTGCAGGTGTTCGCGGAAAAAGCAGGGCTCCATTGGCTACACAGCAACGTGCCTTAGCCAGGGCTTCACTCCGCAGCTCTTGGACAGCAGTCGCTGAGGAGGGGGAAGGCAGGCAGGCAGGCAGGGCGCCGCTTCTCTCTCTCGTTCCCGCTCCGTCTTCAGGCAGGCAGCGCCGCGGCGGGGCGTGGGCTGCCTCTGCGGGGCTGCCTCGCCTCCACTCGAGAAGTCCCTCCCGAGCCGGAGTTAGGAAAGGATGCTGCCGGAGCCAGTGCCGCTTCCCTCGCCTCCTCTGTCCCCGCCTTTGCAATCTCCGGCTCCCTCAGACTTCTTGGCCAGACTATGAAATGTCCATTCCCATTCGCCTCGTAGTAGCCGCCGCCGAAGCAGCAGCAGCAATAGCCGTAGCTGCCGCCTGGACCCTTCTCCTGCCGCGCGCTCTTGGGGCGAAAGGGCGCGCACCGTGCCCGAGGGGGAGCCCCAGCGGGGTCTTTCGGCCAAGTCTGGGAGGCTGAAGCTACTTGCCGAGCGGCTTCTTCCACACCTTTCTCTCTCCCCCCCCCCTCTTTTCCCCTTGGCCCAAGTCCTCGGCTTGCTTGGAGGGGCAGGGGCTGGCAGCTGCAGTGGCGGCGGCAGGAGCAGCAGGAGGCGGCTGCTCCGGCTCTCTCTCCCGGAGGCGAAGCCCCGGCACCTCCACGCGTGTCGGGGTCTCTCTCGGTGGGTGGACTTGCCCAGCGGCTCCTTTCCCCTCACCCTCCAGGAGAGTCGAGAGGAACGTGAGGGGACTTGGCCGGAGCTTAGACGCAGGAGCAGCCGCGGCGACCGCCCGCTAAAGCCATCGCCGCGGGTGAAGGTGGAAGGCGCCGGACTTCGTCTTTGGCCGCTTGGGCGTCTCTGGGGGAGGGCTTCGCCTTGGGCTTTGGCCGTCCTTTTCTGAGCTCTCACCTCTTGAGGCAGCCATGGGGACAGGGCTGGAAGCCGCCGCCGCCCGCTACGGACTCGGACTAGGATACTTATTGCAAATGGTCGTGCTGCCCGCCTTGGCCATCCTGAGCGCCAGCAGCCCGGGCTCGGCCGCGCAAGGTAAGGGGCGCCTTTCCTTTTTCTCTTCTCCCCCCCCCCGCCCCGCCTCGCCTCGCCTCAGGCGGCGCCTCACTCTCTCTCTCTGCTCCTGGGAGCACCTTTCCACACCTGGTCGGGCGGTGGGACGGCCGGTACCCCACCCCACCCCACCCCACCCCACTCCTGCTGGCTGAGGCTGCAGTGGCTCCATGTCCTTCCCACAGACCCGTGGCGAGAAGAAATTAAAAAACGAAAAAAGGCGGGCGAAGGCGAGCGAGCGAGGTTCGCCTCGCGCCTCCACAGGTTAATGGGAAGAAGCGAAGAAGAGTGTGAGGGAAAGGTAGCCGGAGGGTGGGGGAAAAAAAGAAGCAGCTCCAATGTTAAAGGAAAGACGGTTGCTTCGTTGTGGATCCTGGGAGCCTTTTCTCCCCCCCCCCAACCTTTGCCCCGGGGCCGCTCTACGTGTTTCCTCGGAAGTAAGTCCCGCCGAGTTTGGCGGGGCTCAACTGCTCCGGCAGGCATCTCAAAGCGGCGGCCACCCCCAAAGGCGGCGAGCTCAGGGGACGAAAGCGGTGTGTCTTGCGTGTGTGTGTCCCACCTTTGTGTCTTCAGGCATTTTTGTTTCGTCTCCCTCCCTCCACCTCCTCCTCTTCCCGGTACCTTCAGCTGCGGCGAAACGAATGCCCACCCAAGGGGAGTCCTCTCTCTCTCTCTCTCTTTGGAAGAGCCAGGCGGTGGGTTCCTTCTTGCGACTGGCGAGCCTCGAACTCGCAGCCTCGTGGGTAGCTGAAGCCACGTTTGAAATCGGGAACAGGAGAGGGACGAGGTCCTGCCCACCCCACCCCGTGCCCTGCCGTGTCTTCGGGAGCGAAGTGGGTGGGAAGGGACTCTGACAGGCAGGTAGGCTCAGTGACCGGGGTAGGGCAACAGAATCAAGCTGGTTGCTGGCCATGGCGCTCTGGCCACTTAGTCGCCTTCTCCATTAAGACACCTGGGCCAGAGTCTGGCTGAGGCCTTCTTATGGCCAGCAAAGGTTTCCTCACTCCCTCCGTTCTGGTGGGCACCTGTATATGGTCGTTTGTGTCACTGTATAGCTTTACACCTTTAGTATGTGTTAGCAGTCTGAGTTTTCTAGACCTTGCATTGGTTTCTTCAGATAGCTTTTATTACACCCTTTTAAAATACAAATCTGTCTCTCTGCCTCACATATAGCCAAGCTGTTTTGAGCACATCCATTAACTGCCTCTCTTCCCCCCACCCCAGTGTCCAGTTCATTTAATCCTCCTATGCTTTACTGCTTGGCCACTTCCACAACATTGTTCTGCAGCATCTAATTACTGGGAGCCTGTTAAGATGGCATGCTTGTGTGTTTGGTCTACTACAGCAGATTGAACAGGGCTAACAGTCCTGATGTTGACTTTCAGTGGAAAGATTTCTGGGAGTGAGTGATGTTCATTTGTTAGGCAGCTTTAAACATGAGCCCAAGCAAGGCAGTGTTTCAGGTTACCGCCTCTGGTAACCATGAAGGATGGTAAAGCAGGAGAGAGACAGAATGGATCCATGCGGCATGGATCCAGTGGGAAAGTTGTACTGTGCAGCCCTGGGTTAACACTGTTGCCCTGTTTATTTCAGTAGGGCTTACAATAGAGAACTTCCCAGTGAATTAGTGACACTATTTCCATCTTCTGTCTGAGACACCAGAACGTTTTAGTGGCATCTTGGAGGTGGTTTTTTTGTTTTAGTATGTACCGTTTACTTTTAGAATTTTTTTTGCCAAAGGTTAGTAGATGACTGGCACTATTAAAGAAGCAGTTTACATCTTGCTGAGGTCCTTTGGGGCAGAGAGGCTCATTAGAAGTCAATGTACATTGAGAACTACCATACCCTCTATCTCCATGAAAAGTGGCCCTTTGCAAAATACATAAATTCTGGACAGTCTCTATGTCTTCCATACTATACTGAATTTCCCCACAGTAAGCAAGAGTGACTTATTTTTAAGCAGACATATACAGAACTGTTCTGTAAGCTGTTCTGTTGTAATGGTGGCTCGGATGTTTTCAAGCATACTACTGAAAACCAGATGAACACATAGATTTTAAACTTCTGCTGGAGCTTGGAGAGAGAGCCTATTTTGGCACAAAAGGTTAATAGCAGCAGAAGCAGGGTGATTTTATTTAAGAAAGAAAATGCTGTTTTGCTTGATGTTTGGTTGACTGGGGCAGCAGGAGAAATGTTTTATACTGTACATATGTATCAAAAATGAATTAACAGAACTTCTCTAGCCCATGCAAAACCTTTGAACTCCTAGTCTTTCTCGTTACATCAAAAATAAATGAAAGGGTTAATTGAAGAAGAAAGCAACTCAATAAAGACAGTCAAATGGGAAGATAATCTGATTAGGACTGGAAACCGGGAGTGAGGTGGGGCCCTATGAAAGGGACAATTAGATATATTGCTGATACTCTTTTGTATATTAGCCATCTCTGGCAAGCTGTGTGCCTGAGAGCTGGCCCTTCTTCTGGACTTTGTGCAAAAAGAACAGAGATTTTGTGATCTGATGTGCTCTTCTTCACATGCCTTTTTCCATAATAATAATAATAATTACATGCTGTCAGGTTGATTCTGACATATGGCAGCCCTTTCCAGATATAGAGTAGTCTGAAGTGGTTTGCCATTTTATTCTTCTAGGGCACTTTGTGCTGCTCACCCAAGACCACAGAGGCATGTTCTTCTCTGACAGGGAATCAGACCTTTAATCCCTGGTGCTCCATCTCACTGAGCTCTACTGCCTTGAAGAATATGTGTGGATATACTGACCAGTGTCATCTGTTTAATATGGAGTGGCCAAAATGTGACCCTGGGGCTTTATTTGCCCTTCCGAACTGTTTTCTCCCCACTTATGAGTATTTGTCGCCTCCTGCCAATACATGGTTTCCTTGACAAAAAAGAAAAGAAAGAAAGAAAGAAAGAAAGAAAGAAAGAAAGAAAGAAAGAAAGAAAGAAAGAAAGGAGGGGGTTTCTGGTCCTTGAAAGCCTCCAAGAGTAAAGATGTATCTTTCAGATGAGATTAACACCCCCACCCTCATATAACTTCAGAGAAACCCTGTTTTTGAAACCAGAAGTAGCTGCTCACTTCCAGTTTTATGTTTTCGCATGTTTGGAAATCCATCTACCCATTGAAGGTCCCTGGGGCCAGGAAACTGTCCCCCAGACCGGCCACATTGCCTACCTCTTTGTTAGTCTATATAGTACATACTGCAGTCTCATTTTTAATGTGAAAAGAAACCTGCAACTCTTTTATTATTAGCCTTATTACAGCATGAGAAAAACAGGAAAATAGTCCTTTCAGAATCATTGACGTCTGCTTAGATTTTTGTGCTCCTTAATGAATGTGTTGCTGATTATGCCTTCCCAGAACACTGAATCTCTATTTGCTTGGCTACTACATCCTGAATCATTTGCTATGCGAGACTTGGATCAGAAACTGCTTTTTTGAACTTTTCTTCCTGCATGCCAGTTGGCTCAGTAATAAAGAGCAGAGTTTCCATTCATTGCTGATCTATATGCTTATTAAAGATGAGCAGCTTCCTTAAACTATCCGAGAAACCAGTTTTCATTGTTACAGAGGAGAAAGGGAGAGGCATGGTACAAACATATACATATTCCAGCCATAGCTGAGAAACAGTGTGCATGGAGGGGAGAGGAACTGGTGCAAGCTCTCATGTGTAGAAAGGTTTTCAGCACCCCCCCAGACTACTCAGTGTCCTTATAGGCTGATGCTCTTAGTTTCCACAGAGCACCCAAGAAGCTCAAAGCCTGCATGAGATAATTTTCAAATGCACCTGCCTTTCCCAAGTGCAGGGAACCCATAGCACTGCCCCAAATATTGTATACAACCTATATATGTAGTTTACCAAATAAGGAATTGCACCCCTAGCATAATATTCATTAAAGATTATAATAGCATTGAGTGCTGCAGTCTTTTTTTTTTCAACATGGAGTGTATCAATTTGAAATGGGAATGAGTTTGAAATAATTCTTGTAGGTTTGTTGACCAGGAGGTGTTGGAAGGGATGAATGAAATTGCCAACATTCTGTATGTTGTCTGATGTTAATGAATTTCTTTGTTTGCTTATCTTGTCCAGACATCTAATATATTGGTCATATGAATTAGGCAATGTAGAAGTATTTATTTTTGTATGTGAAGCAGAAAGCCAATATTATCTTACTTTGCTCTGGATTTGACCTTCTTTAAAAACACAGAGACTGAAGACAGCAAAATGTCTCCCTCTTTGGAATCTTATGCCTGGTACAATTGCTTCACATTATTTCAATGGGGTGTTAAGTAGATGATACTGTAATTGTATCTGAAAGTGAGCTTACAGCTCTAATAGACAGACACACTTTATGTTCAACAGCAACATTTTAGTGTTGGAATCCCCCCAAAAAGTTGTGATGGCTGTGGAAGGCACTGTATCATTAATGTGTGGAAATTTTTATTCATAACAACTTATTTTAGTATCTGTATCCAACTTTGATTGGGTAGTTTTAGCAAAAGTTGGATTGTCCTATTTTCTAATCAGCAGTGTTGGATTTGTTCCCCTATTTGACAAATCCTTGTGCAGCCATCAGTGAGTTTCATACATACAGCTGTGTGAGAAGATTGTGTGTTGTCATATGCTGGGGAGAAGGATGTTGATTGGTTTTGGAGTTAAGCGTTCTAAAGATTTAAAAGATGTTGCATTATTTTATACCACGTCTAATAGTTATTATGTTTGAGTACTTCTAATTAGAGAGCACTCCAATAAGTATGCTTCCAGATGGAGGATTTAATGTAACTATTTGAAAGCTAAAAGAAACAGTGGGGAAAATGTGGGCTACAAATGGAGGACAACATTAACTGGACCCCTGTAAAATTCCATGAATGAAGCAGGGAAGTTGTAGAATAAAGGCTTCCTCTGGAATCGTGATAAACATCTCTTTTGGATGTATTGATAATGATGTTATTGATGCTCTATGGA